CCGTTATGATGCCATCTTTTTGGAATTCAGTTGTGTATACTTTGAAAGCATCGGGCCCTTTAGTTCGTGTGTTGAGGCTAGTAGATGGTGATAAACCAGCTATGRGTTATATTTACGAAGCTATGGATAGGGCAAAGGAGGCTATTAAGAGTGGTTTTAATGGAAATGAGGCGAAGTATAGACCGATYTGGGAGATTGTTGATAAAAGGTGGGATTGTCAACTTCATCGGCCTTTACATGCAGCCGGATATTATTTGAATCCATCTCTTTTTTATGACAACAAAGAGAGAATAATGCAAGATCCTGAGGTCATGGATGGTCTGATCAAAGTTATAGAACGATTAATACCATCTATCGATGATCAAGTTCAATGTTCAATCGAATTAGAATTGTACAATGAAGCAAAAGGCATGTTTTCGAGTAATGTAGCAATAAGGACGAGGGGTGTTAAAACACYAGGTAATGACATTATTTATTACTTTTAGTTTTAAATTTTTAATAGACATATTTAAGTTTGAACTACTAAAATTCTAAATCATTTGTTTAATATGTGCACAGCTGCATGGTGGTCTCTTTATGGTGTTAATGCTCCGATTTTACGAAAGTTAGCCATGAGAGTCCTTAGTCTAACGTGCAACACTTCTGGCTGTGAGCGCAATTGGAGTGTTTTTGAACACGTAAGTGAGAATAATTTGGTTTTTCCCTTGTTAGTTGAAGATTGAAAAATCCACTTTTGACTCTACATCGTTAATAATTCTGTAGATTCATTCCAAGAAGAGGAACAKGTTAGAGCAAAAGCGTCTTAATGACTTGGTTTATATAAAATATAACCAAGCACTTAAAGAGCGCTACACTCTACAAGACCAACTTGATCCAATTACTTTGGATCATATTGATGAAAGTAATGAATGGTTGATCGGAACACTCGAAGAAGAAGATGGTCAAGAAGAAAATGAGTTGGTCTTTGATGATGACGACCTCACATGGGGAGATGTAGCCGAGGCTAGTGGTGTTAGAGAACCCATMAGGCAAACTAGAACATATGYAAGATCTAAAGGAAAGTCGCCTGCTACTCCTGCTCCTACAACTTCAAGAGTTCGAAAATCAGTGCAAGTTGTGGTTAGTGATGATGATGATGACACCGAAGAAGAAGAAGAAGAAGAATTGGAAAAGGAAGATTGTGAGGACGTCCAAGATGAAGAGAATTTAGATTTAGATGAGGATGATGAGCTTTGATTACTTATATTTACTTTTTGTTCTATTTCAGACTCTACAATTTCTTAATGTTGCTYGTCTTTATTTGGAACTAAATTTATAGAATTTGGTTGTTTTATGCATCTTGTTGACATTTACTATTTTGGTATTGATTTTTTTAAGGTAATTTATGCACTATATATATAATTTTTACTTATTTATCAAGGTGCGCCTCGCTTCAATCGGGCGTCGTCTTTGTATCGCCTCTCGCCTCAAGGCGATCAAAGGACTCGTCGCCTTGCGGTGCRCCTTGCGCCTCGAAAACACTGATACCAGGTTGACCTAATCCTATAAGGAGAAGGTAAARGACAAATTAATATTAATACAATAATATAAAATATACTAAAATATCTATACTCTAATAGGAGAGAAGTGTTTTCAGAGATAGAGATGTGAGGTGTCGTGGATGTGCTTGTAGGGAGAGAAATTGAGGTCGTATTCRATCCTTCGGAACTCTCATCCTTGCGCACATCAGTCATCATGRCTGTTTTAACCATTCTGGTGTCAATCTAAACCTAGCTCTGATACCATAAAAACTAGTGTTAGAATCCATATAAATGAATTRAATTTACTCAACCCATCAGCTTAAGCTTTTGGGTTGAGTGGTGGTTTATTCACTCTTAAGAACTAGGAATAGAGACACCATARAGACATACACGAGAAAAGAGAGAAGAAATAAATTCTGAAATTGATTGATCAAAGATGAGGAATAGAGACACTATATAYAGGCTACAAGAGGAAACAAAATCTAGGAATAACCTCCTAACTTCCCTAACAAAAAAGGAGATTTATTTGCTAAATTTAAACACAAAATCTAAACAACTTTAAAACGACTTCTAACTAAGTCCACATAATCTAAACTTCTAACTAATTCAACAATAAGAAGTCTGATTCAAAGAGGGTGGAATTCTCGAGGAAAATGCTTAAATTTCTTCTCCCTCTAATGGTGAATTCTCTAGCCTTCATCCAGGATACTGTGTAAACTGAAATGATTTGAAATTTGAACTTTGGACTTTGATGAGTTATACTATCGAAGGAACCTCAACTAACATGTTTTGAAGAAGATTACCCCTGGGGGTTTTGTATCTTGAACATTTTTCTTTTTCATATATCAATGAAAAGTTGTTTCTTGTTCAGAARAAAGAAGATTCGACTGGGCTAGGGATATTAGAGGAGGACATCCTGGGCAGTTGAGTCGAGGGGAGCAGGTCAAGAAACTTCAGAGGGAGGAGGGAGCTTAAGAATTTTACTTCAATCAATTAATCATGTTACAGTGTCTTCAGTGGGGAAGTGATAAATAATATTTCTTTCTTGGTCTTTAGCCAAAAGCACCACTATCAATTTAAAATTCTCCCCGGATAGCTCCATTGCCTCAGAGTATGTGATGGGTGAGTTGAGCACCCCTTTGGTCAGAAAAGCCGTGGACATTGATAAGGAAATAGACAACGTTGGCCCTACTATTTTCCAAGAATTAAATGCCAAAGCTATTTTGAACCGAAAACCATAGGCCAACCATTTTCCACCTGGTATGAAGAATACTAATAGACTAATTCAGCCCTTTTCCACCTGGTATGAAGAATACCTGTAACAACCAAAATAATAATAATAATAATATATAAATATACATATATTTAAATTATTATTTTTTAGTTGTTTTCTTTTATTTTCTCAAAGATAAACATTTTTTTGTTTTAGAAATTATTTTTAAAAGATAATTTGTTCTTAGAATTTAAAAAATAAAAAGAAAGAGTTTTATTAAATCTTTATCTTTTTATTATCCTTTTTAAATAAGGATTCATTAGGGTTTGTTATAAAAGCCTTTAAACCTTAGGTTTTATTTTCTTAAACTGTTAGACCTAGTTTTCTCTCAAAGAGAAAAAGAAAAGAAAGGAAGAAGAGTTTGGTATTTTCTCTCAAAGATCGGTAAGATTTTCTTCTCATTGTTTTAGTTTTATTTTTCTTGATTTGTAGTTCTTTAATTCAGTTTATTGGGAAAAGTTTTGAGGGCTTTGTTTTTTAAAATAAAATATTTTAAGGACTTTTGCCCTAAAA